GCCCCGCCCCCAGCCCGCACACGCTCTACTCCGCTGGCACCGCGCGCACTCTGCACGCACACACCAACACTTCGCACTGCTCGCACGTCCACATCCGCAGTCTCACACACACCAGGGTACACGCCACACTGCGCACATTCTTCACGTTCCACACACAAGCGGTCCACACTCCCCAGCACGCGCCCACGCTCTCTCGTACACACATTCCATGCACATCCGCATTCCTGTACACACACAGATTCACACGTAATACTCCCACACTCACATCCCCGTATACACACTACACACCTACCCCCATCCCACACCTCACACATCTTCCAAAAGAGCATGGTCTGCATCAGAGGACTCCCAACCTTCATTACAGCAGACATTGATGATGTAGATGAAACAGGAGAAAAAAATTCACCCATCCTCACACCACCCTTCCAAATAGTTTTCACTTTTATTTCTGTCGTTTTAGGTTTTCTTTTCTTTCTCTTCCTTTTCTTTTCTAATAATGTATTTTTTGTTTTGTTTTCCTCCTGGGAAAGAGCTGGGAAACAAGCCTTTTGATTGAATGAGTGATATGTGGTATTTTCCTTTTTGAAGGTGAAGGGCAAAATTGGGAATGTTACTCATGGCCCCCTCCTTTTGGTTACACCAGTCGCCATTCCTTTTGGGCCTTTTGCTGAACAGCTAGAGTATCTCAGGAGCTGTTCACTCCCTCATGCATACTGCCTTGCTGCTTGCCCAGGGTTGGTTTGGGGGAAGTAAAAGCAGGAGAATCACATTTTTTTAAGTTAAAAATATATTATTTTTAGGGGTGCCTGGGTGGTTCAGTCGTTAAGCGTCTGCCTTCAGCTCAGGTCATGATCCCACTGGGATCAAGCCCCACATGGGGCTCCCTGCTCAGTGGGAGGCCTGCTTCTCCCTCTCCCACTCCCCCTGCTTGTTTTCCCTCTTTAGCTGTGTTTCTGTCAAATAAATAAATAAAACCTTTAAAAAATATTGTTTTTAAAGTATAAAAGGCAATAATAGCCTTTTTAGAAAATTCAAATGCTAAAGTAAAAGTAGATGTCTCACATGCTCACACTGTAAGAATCTACTCATTCTCCCCTCACCTCTGTGCCTCTTTCTCTCTTCTCAGTTCAATTGGTAAGGAATATTTAATTCGAAAGTAGAAAAATAAAACAAAAGTTCAGGATGAAATAAAAATGTTTACCTGTTATAGATAAATCATATTACTTTGTGCTTAATTTGTTTTAAATATTTTATTTATTTATTTATTTGAGAAAGAGAGAAAGAGCGCACAAGCAGGGGTAGGGGCAGAGGGAGAAGTAGAGGCAGAGAATCTCAAGCAGACTCTGCACTGATAACGGAGCCCAACGTGGGGCTCCCTCTCACCACCCTGAGATCATGACCTGAGCTGAAACCAAGAGTTGGCCGCTTAACTGACTGAGCCACCCAGGTGCCCCGCTTTCTGCTTAATTTTAAAATAAAAACATTCCAAAATTTGATAGAAAATTTCAAGTTTTTAAATCAAGAAAGACTCGAAACTTTTCCCCGCCTTAGGTGTTTATGGATGAGACAGTTTTGAAGTTGCCATGCAACACTATTATGTAAGATTGAGCACAGGAGGTTTTGCTTTAATAGTTTTGTTAAGCAAAAGGAGGGAAGAGAATGTATTTTGAGTCCTGTCTGTGGGGTAGGTATTATGCCCATTGCACAGCTGGAAAAACTAAGGTTCTGAGCGATGAAGTAATTTGCTAATGAGTGATAGCGCTAGACCTTTCATGAAGTCTGTCTGGGTCCAAAGCCTGTTTCCTTTCCACTACCACACTTGCTGCTCGAAGCTGGTTTTGGCAGTGAGTCCCTGGCCAGGCTGCTGATGGGATTCTTGTCGAAGTCACAGGAAAGAATGTGCCTGTAGATCAGCTCACACGCCTTGCTAAGTTCATTTTCACAATAAAGCCCCCAAGCAGAACAATACCCTCATAATCACCACCAGGCGACTCCATCGAAAGAGGCCCCCTCCAAAACTTAACAGGCCTAATACGTGAAATTAAATCTCCATGGCCCTACTCTCTCTATCCAATAATTTCTCATAACCCACTAGAGTGTCTCCATACTTGTCAGAGATTCTCCTTGTTATCACCCTCCCTCCCATCCCTATGGCTCTTTTCTCTCCCTCCACTTCCGTCTGCCCTAACTCAGACCCTGACCCTCCCGGGGTTGCTCCCAGCTCAAGCCCCCCTCCGGCGCCCGGCCCCTCAGCCATCTCTCTTCCAGCTTTGCTGAGCTCCCGTAGCGTCCGATGTTGCTCTAGACTCCACTTTGGTTCCTTTTGACTCCTCCAGCAGAGTTTAAATTCTTCGAAGCCAGACCCCTCCCCGCGCCGGGGTCTTCTACTATATCTTTTATTTTCTTCAGGGGCTAGTTCACAGTGGGTGGCCAACGTTTAGGAATTGTTCAATAGAAGATTCAAGGGATTGTGTTCTCCATATCTCCACGCTCAGAAGTCGCACCACTCCTCTCCACAGGCCTCCGTGATTCACACGCCCAGACATCAGTGTTCATCTCCAGTGAGGCCATATTTGTTGTCACCTTCTATTCACGCCAGTGCAGACTATCCTGCATTTGCTCTTGATGTGGCACCTGTCCCAGTTTATGCGCCTGCAGAACTTGCTCTAGACAGAACCGTGAAGTAGGTTAGACAGGTCTCCTGAGCCCTCTCCCTCCTTTCTTTTGTGATCAGGCCCCTTCACCCCGATGGAGTCTGCTCTGGACAACTTGCTTTCTACATTCCCTGTGTTCCTCCCCTCCCCCATCTCCCAGCTGGTTAGCTCAGTCTCATCTCTTGGAATTTACACTAGACGAGGCTTCATGCAGTGCAGAGTGTAGCAGAGCGTTGAATAATGTGCCCCAGCATCCATGACCCCTTTCCTTTTCCCTATCAGAACACTAATTTTGCTCAGGCATCTACCAGACTCCACCTTACGATATGCTTCAGGGGAGCCCAGCCCCCTTTTCTGTCCAAAGCTCTCTGATCTAAGCTAGTGGTAGTGCCTGGGTTAGGCGTGGGCATGTGACAAATCCTGACCTCTGAGACATGAGAGGAGGTGTGCTGGGGGCTGCTAAGAAAGATTTCCTTACTTCCAAGAGAGATACCCTGGAGAAGGTCCTCTCTTCCTTGGGGCACTGTCCTGTATGGATATGATGCCTGGAATGCTGCAGCCACCTTGTGACCATGAGGGAAGCTATTCCCTGAGGGTAGCAGGGCAAACAGATGGTGTCACTAAGGTCTATGTTGACAAAAGGGGGCTGCCCTACCCCTGGATTTCTTGCTGTGTAAGACACTTTCTTTTGTTGTTGCTGTTTTGGTTTGGTTTTGGGTTTTTTTTTTTTTTTTTGAGTCATCAATACATTTTTATTAGTCTCCACCCATGGCATATATATCATATTAGGTATGTGCATTTATCATATATATGCCTTCGTGATATATATTTATGCCCAATATACTTAGCCCTTATTTTGAAATGCCAAATGTAAATGAGAAAAACATTTAATATTATATTCTGTAAAACCATTATAAGTAGATGCAAGCATCTGATTACATCATTATGTCATGTAGTATAGACATGCCTGTGTGCCTGTATATTGTTTTGTTGTTTGTTTGTTTTTAAGATTGTAAGCCACTTTCTGTTGCAAGTATTCTGATACAGGGTGAGAATGGAGACAAGGGGTGGGGGACAGGGGGTCAGGAACTTCACCCACATTGATTAATGCTCATTATGTGCTAGCATTTTGAATGTGTCACTGATTTATTCTTATTCCAACCTCCTGTGAAAGCTATTATTGATGATGAAATTGAGACTCAGGGTGGATGCAAAACTTATTCATGATCACAAGGACTGGAAGTAGGAAAGTGGTATTTGAACCCAGGCAAAGGGAATAGAGCTCCTCTTTCCACCATGCTGTCTTACTGGGTTTGTACGCAAATATTTGAGTAAATGTCGGAATGAAGTTTCTGATTCTGCATTTTACAACTTTAAGGTTACAGATAATATCCCTCAAAGTACATGAATTGCTGACAGGGAGTTGTGAGAAGGGGCTGGAGCAATGTATCCAAGTGATACACATAGGTTTTGATTACTTTTGATAGGCATTTTCCCTGCTGTTGATAGCCAATATCCCAACCTATAACTAAATCCAAGTGATAGACATAGATTTTGATTTTTGCCATTGATAGACAATATCCTTGCCTGTCTACTCAATAAATTTCTTGAGGTGGAAATTTTAGCCTAGTCAGATGAATTTTTTTTCTGATTATCAATCCAGAATACAAAAAGAAGAGAAAAAAGCAAAAGACAACAATGACCTGTAATACAATTTCCCAGAGTCATCGGGGTTAAATACACCCCTGATCTTTTCTTAAGCATGTAGTAACATAACTGGAATTATGTGTACTCTGCTTTTTAAAAAATTATTAAACATGATCATGTGGGCATTATCCTCTGGCATTAAAAAGTCTTTGAAAATCCTGCATTTAAAATTGGCTATACTGTGGTTTATTTAGTCTTTCTCCTATTATAACATCTTTAAGTCTTTTCTCCTGTTGTGACCTTTCTCTTGGTATAAATTCCTTTTAGTTTTTGTTATTAAAAATAGTGCTAATAATTATTTTGTACCTAAGTTTTATCCACATTTCTTATTATTTCCTTAGGACACATTTCTGGAATTCCAGAGCCATAACATATGAAATAATTGTGAAAGCTGCTAATACCTAAGTACAAATTCCTTTTCAGAAATGCTATGCCAATTTTATACTTCCATTCAGGCTGGTTAAATTATTATTTGAGATTTTTCT